GAAGCAATGGATTTATCTACATGCATTTACAAATCCATTGCTTAAAAACAAAAGTTCATCACTCACCGGCACTGATGCGCAACAGCGGAGTTGAATATTGAAGCTACGTTGTCTGTAACATACAAATATAAAATCTAAATTATAACAGTGCTTAAAAAAATTAATATTTTAAATAAATATTATTGTACGCATTGTGTGAAATTTATGCGTATAATTTAAAATAAATATAATGTATAAATATGAAATAATTTTATAAGTAGTTAATTTTTAAGTAGAAACTTCTATACAAAGGATTTTTAGAAAAAGTTTTTTAATTATTTTTGTTTATATTATTCAAATAAATAAATCAAATTGATATGTGTATGCGATTTAAATACAATAATTAATAATAATATTTACCATCAGGTTGTTCCGCTGATGCAGGATGCCTCTCCTAGGCCTGCTCCTCCTCTCAGATCCTCATGGTTGCTGCGTCGATCTATAACATACAAATAAAAAATCCAAATTGTAATAGCATTTAAAATGATTAATATTTCAAAAAATTACTATTGTACGCATTGAATTTTATACTCGATATAATAATAAGCAGATTTATAAAATAATTCCATACATTTTGAAAAATGAATATTATTATAACAATTCTCTAATAACTTTATAAAAGCTTATATCTTTACAAGATTACAGTTTTGTAAAAATGTTCTTCAATCCTCTCTTATTTAAATCATATAAATAAAAAATCAAATTATGCGATTAATTTAATTTAAATTATAACAAATATATTTAATATTTAATATATAATTACAAATTAATAAATTGCTTACCAGAAGGTTGCTCTGCCAGAGCCCGATGCCTCTCCTAGGCCTCCTCCACCTCTCACAATCGTCTTAGACGCGCGATACTTTTAACAACACTCCCACACTCACGAGCGATATTTTTATATCGCTATTTTCGTTATTTTACGCGCGATACTGAACGGCACTCCCGCACTATTTCGGTACGAAATTAAAAATTTGGTTGCGCGGTGTATATATTTAATATATATATACTTTTAACGGCACTCCCGGTTTCGATACGAGCGAAAATCCCATTTCACTTACGAGAATCAGCTTCGAGTCAATATAGATCGGGAATGCAACGATACAATGAGCAAGAATTAAGAAACCGGAAAAAAGACAAAACGATTGACGGAAATAGAGGAAAATGTAATTCATCTCGAACATCCCAGTTAATTGGCATCGGAAGTAGAGACTCGTGACAATAAATGAAATTGGGATTTTATATGAAAAAGTCCAAAAGTTTCGCGAAAACGCGATGACGCGAGATTATTACAACGCGAAAACGCGACGCGTTGACGAAGCGTTTGTCATCCGCGGCACGTTGACGGCACCGACGACGCAAAAGGGTACTTAGCTTCCCATTCAGGCACCTCAAGATTGATCATAAATAGAAAAATTTATGATAAACCTCAAGACATCATCCAAGTACTAAGCCCTCCCACCACGACAAGGTGTACCCTATGGGAGGGTTATATTATATATAATTTTATATATAATATAATACATAATTTATTTTGTAATATAGTACATAAGACGCGCGTACGCACAACGTGACAGCTGAGCTCAGACTCTCTGAGAGTCGTTGTTTAACAACATCTTGACAACGCGCGCGGAAATAATCTTCTTCCGTCGACAGACTTCCCCCCCGAAAGAATTCAATAGGTGAATACATCCAGAGAGAATGCGGCAACGTAACAATATAATAAATAATATACCTTATTGATCCATTCATTTCCAAGACATTCTTTTTTTCTGTTGTTTCACTTTGTCCTCGTGGCACTCCAATCCTCGTTGCATTCATTTGAATTCCTCGTTGCCCTTATACTCATTCACGAAAAGTTCTTCGTTGCACTTGCAATTGTGATTAGAGAAAGAATTTGATAATATATAGAACGCCTCACATCACTACCTCATTGCTCGAGAGTCACTAAGCGAACGATCGTAAGTCATAAACATTACCGCGGTACTGTTTATATCGCCAAGGCCGATTTATACTATATTATTGTTATAATTCGTCGTTGAAATATTCTATGAGTGATTGCCGATTAAGAAAATTTAAAGCATTGGTCGAAATTTATTTAATTCTAATAAGTATCGTTAGAGAAATTATTATAATAAGCATCAATAATCGAAAGATCATAATAAAATTAATTTCTTTATCCTCCTTTATATGTTCCCCCTTATTATGTCCCCCCGTTCCTCCTTATATTTCCTTTTTCAATTTTTATTCACAGTAATTAATGATTGCAATTCGATAAAGATTTATCGTTGCGATACATTTCATGACGTTAATCATAAGTTAATTTATTTTTAATTATTAGTAATTATATCAAATTATGTTTCGATACTAGTCGCGATCGCGTTTAGAAACAAAATTCGTTAATATACGAAGCGTCTCGCACCAGTACTTTACTGCTCGAATGTCGTTGTGTGAATGATAAGGAAAGCCGTGATACATAAACAATAGAACGATACTGTGTACGCCGTCAAGGCCGAACGCTATGCTATTGATAATTTTTTGCCGAAATACGAAATATATTATGATATACACTACATGTGAAATATTAAATTACAAAAGTATTTTAATTTACATTTAATTAAACGATTGATATATAATAAAATTTTTCGTTATGATAATTACTTGGATCTATGACATCTTCGATTGTTTCATTACTCCCGATCTACAATAGGTAATTTAAGTCCTAAGACTTAAGAAATCACTAATCATAGTCGAGTATTCTCTTCATACTTGACTGTGATTGGTCAATCTCTTAAGGCTTAAGGCTTAAATTATCTGTTGTAGACCCGGCCTTACGCTTTTTGCAAAATCAAATTTTACAATTTTAATTTTTAATTCTATATAGATACATATATGTACACATATCAACAAAAATGTGAATTGAAATATATCAAGAACGTGCTATTAGCGCACTTTTGCAGCCATATCTTGCATTCCATGATATTACTGACGATACAAAAAAAACAACAAATTTTTTTTTTATTTCTTTAAAATCTTTAAATTTATATTAAGATATAAAAATCATATTATTTATTATTTATTTATTTTTAGTCACATGCAGAATCAATTGCTATTAATGTAAGAAATTTAAATTTTTATTAAATTTAAATTTTAGACGATCTACAATTTGTGACAAAAATCATAATAAAATTTAATTTTATGTATCAAATAATTATAAGTATATAAATAGATCATAATATAATAGATATTCTTTATGTTCATAATATTATAATTTAAAGATTACATAAAAAGAAAAGAGTTAACTAAAAGAAAACTTAACGCAAGAAAAGGATGTTTTGATGCATAACAGTAATCGACGCGTAATATGTTAATTGCCATGCAATACAAGGTAATTTATAGAATTTATAGAAAAATGCATAGATATTTTATTGCTGTATATATTGTAAAAAGAAGTTAAAACTATGACGCGCAATATATGAGAATTTTCGTCTCACATCTAAAATTAGAAATAGGTGCATCATATGGCTAATGAAATTCTATTCAAATATCATTTACCATAATTCATCAAACATAATTTATTTAAACCAAAAAAGTTCTCTATTTTTATCCCTCATGATATTTTTAACTCAGCTTCCATTAGACTAATAATAGTTTGTTGAAGGAATGTAAACTTTGATTTCTCTTTTTTTTTTGTTGGAAAATTATCTACTGGCATCGAATCGAACGTTATTCGATCGAATCAATTGCAAAATCCGATTAGAGAAACAGAATCAGCATATTGAATTTATGTTCGACAAATAAGGTTAACACGAACCTCGTTCTGTCGGTCACCGGAATAAAACAAAACCGAACAAATGTTCTGTTCGATGTGGGCTCTTTTTTAGCCGAGATCGATCGAAAATCCACCCGACTGCCGATCAGCATACGATCGATCGATATCGAATAGAGCGTTTATTGGACAACATAATACAATAAGTTAAAATGTTATCCGAAATGTTAAAGAAAAAAAAATCAACAAAGGCGATGAAAATATGGACATGCTTACAAGTACACATGGTTACATCTACACACACATACAAGATGTTAATAAATTAGAGAATAAATGTTACGAGTATATTTCAAAATTTTTATTGTCTCTTTCCATAGATACTATTTAATAATACGATGAGAAATAAAATTTTCATCAGAACTCCCGATTAGTTTTCAAAATATAAGATAATAAAATCTTTAATATTGATTTCTAATTATTAATGTCGCTTTATTGTTTTAATTTCTATAATTTAAAATATTGATGATCACGTCTTATTGTTAGTAGTAGTTATAGTGGCATAGTAGACACATTACATTTAAATGTTTAGAAAAAAATATTTCTTGAAATAGGATATATGTGTGTGAGTGTGTGTATGTGTGTGCGTGCCGAGATAGGCTAATATCTCCCAAGAGATAAGAGTTTAAACATCGAGATAAGAGTATAATCATTTCATATATCAATCATTTCATCATAAGGAATGAGATTTTCTTTCGAGGACATTTTAATAGATATTGGATGCGAGTATATGTCAAAATAAATTTTTTAAATTCGTATTTTGATTATTTTTAAAATTTTTAATTATTCTCTGGATTATTTATAAGTACTTTGATTTTCTATCAAATGATAAAAAAATTGAGCGATATTAAATATCAAATTATTTTAATTTACTTATCTATCTTGCAACGCATCTCTTGATACAATGTTTAAGCGACATGATTATTTTTAAATATCTTTGCTAAAAATCTAGAAGTCCGGTATGCAATTTTATGACGTAACGATATAATCTGCACTTGCGTTTTATGAGCTCATATGATTAATTTTGAAGTAAAGATAAAATTGTAAGGTCTCTCTGTAAACACTGATATATCCAATTAAAAAGTGGTATAATAATAACTGGTATGAACTGGTTTTATTAGTAATATAACATTGATTCGAGTCAGTCAGCGACAATTATTCGTAATCGCAAGAAGTGTCAGCGAGAGAATATATATTGTAACAGTTTCTGTGCGCGATATAACTCTTATTATGGATTACACTAAATTCTATTCTAAAGTCACCAATAAACGAAGAAGCAACTTAATTAGACATTTAAGTAAGTTATCATTGCATTTATTTTCTGTGATTACATTTGCTCTTTTAGTTTTATACGAAATCATATAAAAATGTTTTCCTTCCATTTTTTATGTAATACAGATATTTTTATTCACACATTTCTTATACAATTACTTTTTTACTTTGAAAATTAAAGAATCAAAATTCGATATATTTAAGTTTAAGCAAATATATCATTGGATAAGACATGTAATAAAATGTTCTTACATTTTTTTGCTATATTTAATGCACTTTATATACTTATTGTTAGATTTAATAATTAGAGACTTGGTTCAAGTAATCAAAAAATCAAAAAGAAAATGGCATAAGAGCCAACGTGCGGTAGTTGAAGTGAAGCAACAATACTTCTTTCTTTTTTCAATATTAGTTTATTAAAAAACACATAATAACAAAAAGCGAACGTTTTGGATTATCTTTTGATTCTTCTTCAGCGATGTTAACAATATATACTCGTATATTACAGATAGTGACGCGCTACATTAAATGAATTTATTCTTGACGTAGGGGATGCTAAATTGCATCCTGCGGAGGTCTAGTAAGCACTCTGCTTCCAGCAATCAATTAAATATACTATAGTTATGCTATGTGACGTCACAGCAGATCAGATTCCGCGCTTTTTTACAATTAATAATATAGTATACCGCTGTGCGCTTCATGTCTATTTGATGACGAACGTTCGTCTAACTATACGTTAATTATAGTATTTTTCATTATATATAGTATATTTCAATTATAGTATTTTTCAATAAAAGTATTTATCTACATTATTATATTATATTATTAGTATATTATATTATTAGTATATTATATTAGCATATATATTATTATTATATTATCATTATATCATTATATTATCGTATTATTATTATTATTATCATATATTAATATTATTATTATCATCATCATATATTATTATATATATATGTATATATATATATATAAAATTATTATGTTATTAATATACTTTTAATGAAATTTATAGAAATAAAGATAAAAAAGTCATATATACAATCTATCATTCTATAAATCTTAAAACATTTGCAAAACCAAACATATACACGTTTTAATGTCAACTTTGAATACATAATAAATACATAATAAATAATTTTAAACGCAAGAGCACCATTTTAATTGTTGGTGATGCTGGTCTCTTCAGTCGCGCGAATAATCGAGTCAACTTGATCACATTCTTAATTTTGTTGATTTTGATAACATAAATGCGCAGCGCGAATTTAAGTTTAAGAAATTAAGTTTGTTCTTTTCTAAATAGAACTAATACATGGATACTAATCTAATGTTATATCACGTTTTAAATTTCGAATTAGATACTGTCTACATGTCGCATCCAAACGGTATAAATTTTGCTGGTGGTTGGCCAAATGCTGCTACATTTCCTGTCGAAGATTTGTCTGTGATATACAAGCTCAACAATTTGATAAAATTTAGCAAGCCTGAATTGACTATAGCATTGCAATATCTATCTTCACAAGGGTGAGCAAAAAATATTAATACAAAATTAATACTTCACAATAATAAAATATGAATAATATGTACAGAAATATAAATAAAAGAAATAAAAAGTTTCTTACTACTTTATATAAAAAAACTTTTTTATTTTTATTAAACATTAAATTAAAAATTAATTTTTCTAAACTTTAAATATTCCAACTTGATATTTCATTCAACATTTTCGCATATAAAAAATCTTACTACAGATTTATAGAAAATTGTTATATACTTATCGCATTTTAATAATTATTGGACTACAAATACAGCATGCAATTAAATCGTAACACATTGAAAAATTATAATAGAAATAAAGATAGAAAATGTGTATAATATAGAAGATCGGGATATAAATTACGAATCATTGTATTGTATTATGATTAAAATTGTAATTTTTTAAAAATTGTATTAGCCGAATTTTAGATTTTAATTTAAGTTATTATTTTTTACAATTCATATTTATAATAATATTTAACAAAAATATATTATTAATTTTTAATAAATTTCTTTGTAATTGATGTAATATATATAATTAATAATTTTATATTACTTGTCAATATATAATAAATATCAATATAACAAGAGAATAAATGTTTATTGCTTTATCTATAAATATATCTAGGCAATTTTATTAATATATTCTAATATATTCTAATATATCTGGTTTGTGCACATTTCTGTATATATTTATTTTTCTCAAGTTACAAACCGCTATTGGAAAAATGGAAGGAATTCCAGAAAACGTGGCATACACCAATGCAAAACAATTGGGATGTCGCAACGACGTGCGGTTCCCTGGACGGTGCCAGTAAAATCTTTGAAATGATGATCAATGAAAATGACGCAGTTTTACTCCAAACGCCAGTATATACTGGAATAATCGGAGCGGTTCGTAGTTTTAAAATAATATTCCGAGGAAATAATAAGTTTTAATAAAAAGAGTTCATTTCTATCAAAAAGTAAAAAAATTAAGACATACATGTACTAGCATTCTTTATCTATAAAACAAAAGTTCTTAACTCACTAATCGATGCGCAGCAGCAGAGTTGATCATGTTGAAAAGCTACATTGATCTGCAATATACAAATATAAGATTCAAATTACAATACGCAACAATTACATACAACAGCGCACAAAATAACTAATATAAAATATTATTATACATAGCATTTTTCGATACATATATATTCCGACAAAAAATTATTATGCTTTAGGGAGATATCATATATATATAAAAGTCTTCGTCCCTTATTTTTATTTAAATTACCCAAAAGAAGAATCACATCAACAAGAATAAACACATGCACAATATATTAATGAAAAATAAAAAATTAGTCACCCCCTGGTTGGACCACCATCGCTCGATACTTAAATCATCCTCTTCACAAGTTGTTAGAATTTGTTACACTCACTCGCGGAAAAAATATGAAATATAATTCATTACTATTTATTATACGACATATATAAATATGAACGACACATTATAAATATGAACGCGCAATACTTCGCACGGCATTCTCGCACTCAAATACGTAACATTTTGCACGATTCTCTTGCACTTGAACGACACATTATAAATATGAACGCATTACACTTTATACGGTATTTCTGAATTTCATATAATATCCATACAATATAATACCATATAATCGTGAAACAAAAATTAAGCAGAGAGAGACGAGATTGATACAAGTGGAGCTTCTAATTCAAATTTCAGAATCACTCGAACTTGTCTAAATACACAATTCGTTATAAAATAAATTATTAAATTTATTACATATTAAATTATGTAATATAAATTATTAAATGTATGTGTTTTATTCAATGTATTCTGAATTAATTATTAATCAGTCGATAAATCAGCGCTCAACCTCGGAAGATTATAAAAAATATTTATGATTTGAAAATCTTTTAATATTTATTAATAATGAATTATAACATAAAACAATTGACATTAATGTATTTAACGATCTAGAGCAATTTTATATATTGTATAGATATAAATGTGCAAAATATATAATTATTAGTTAATTTAGCGATATCTGATATTTCTTTTGTAATAACAGATATATACGTTTTCGAGACAAATTTTGAAAAATCTCTTTTTTTATTTGCAGCTGCTACCGCTGTCACCAGATATTATAGAGATCCACCAAGATGGCGAAGGGATCAATCCCGAAGAGATCGCCAAAGAATGCGAGCAGAGACTTGCGACTGGTAAACCGATGCCAAAAGTGAGTCAGAAGATTTGCAGTATCGAATAAAATATATCTCTCCTCGAAATCATAAAATAATAAGAAAATAATTATATATATATATATATCTTCGGTTTTTAATTTTTATCCTAAATCTTTATGCGCGAAATGATTTTCGCTTCTAATTCACAAAAGCTTCAACGTTTCTATTGATTTTGAGAAGAGATTAATATCAAATACAAATTACTCGAATAACATGCTTATAGAAATTTATTAAAGCATCTTGATAACATTTTATGTAATCATTATACACACACATACACACACACAAATCCGTAAAAGATAAAACTCACAAATAACAAATAATTAACAATTAATTTTTTATTTTTAATTTTTTACCTGATTAATATGATCCAATATTAGAATATTGTTTCTATTCATCAGCAACAAGTATAATTTACTCAATTTTTCAGTTACTTTACATTAATCCAACCGGATCGAATCCTACAGGCGCCGTTTTGTCGGAGACCCGACGAAGGAAAGTGTACGAATTGGCGCAGAAATACAACTTCCTGATCGTCGAGGACGATCCTTACTATTTTGTTCACTTCTTAGATAAACAGCCCACATCGTTTTTCTCTTTGGACACTGACGGTCGCGTAATCAGATTGGATTCGATCAGTAAGATAATGAGCGCCGGGCTTCGCGTCGGAATCGTTACAGCCCACAGAGACGTTGTGCAAAAACTGATTCTTCATATGGAAAATTCTACTATGCAAACATCATCTTTATCCCTAGTAAGACTTTTAATACTGGTTAATTTATATATGTATATATTATTTTATATATAATATATTATTATTTTATATATTAATTTATATATAAATATCTATATTTATAATTATTATAAATATAATAATTTATACTTATATAATCTAAAAATATAAATTATATAAATATTTAAAATAATATAAATTTATATATATATATATATATATATATATAATATAAAGTATAATATAAAATATAAAATATATATAATAAAATATTTTTATTTATATATATAATTATTTACCATCAATTAAGCATGTCTTTAATAAGAAAATTCTTTATTACGATTATCTTGCTTTACATTCACAACTTTGCATTTCCTGAAATAAATTACTGATTTCTTTTTCCTGAAATAAATTATTGATTATTGTAGTAATTGAATATTATTGTACTTTTCAATCCAATATTTTATATTTTTAGTATTTTAAACGTATATTTAAAGATGAAGTTATTTGTTGCTTATATATCAAGTTGATTTATAATGATCTCCTTTGCAGATGCTTCTATATAAACTATTCGAAGTTTGGGAACCACAGAAATTCGAGGAACATTTCAAAGATATACAAAAGTTTTATCGGGAACGACGTGACACAATGCTAGCCATGGTTGAAAAACATTTAACAGGTATTTCGAAAACTTAATGCAATAATTTTTATTGTTATAAAGATTTAAATAGAATTTTATTGGAGATATTTATCGATTGTTTAAAATATCAGAGTGATTTTAAAATACCGAATATTCTTTTCCTATATAGTCACTTTGGCTAATATAAAAATAATTCTTTTCATCAAATCATTTATAGTTATTATTATACTTTCTAACCGTTAACATTACATTTTTCAATAAATGATTTATTATTATTTAATTATTTAATTATTATTATTTTAGTAATTGTTTTTAATTAATTATTAATTTACTTTTAATTATAATTTCTCTTTCCCTTCCTACTCTCTCTCTCGCTCTCGCTCTCTCTCTCTCTCTCTCTCTCTTTTTATTGAAAAAAATTCACTTGATATAAAGTAAAAGATACAGTAATGTAAAAAAAATTAGTCTAAAATTTAGTTTGCTATAAAAAAATCATTTAATTTATATCTCGTTAAAGTTTAAAACGTTCATAAAAAATTATAAATTTACTCATATTAAAAAAAACTTTATTGATAAGATACGCAACAGCAAAGTTACGTATATTACAGAGAAAAAATGTCGAACGAATTAACTATATCATTGTCACCGCAAAATATTTAAACTATAATGTAGAGTAAATGAATATAAAATATTCTGTATTTGGAAACGGTTCTTTTGAACTTAAAATTAATTACTAATGAACATATATATCGTGACTTTCGTTACTTCTCACTCAATGACTGCGATTGGTATATATATGGTTTTCATTTGAAAATGATGAATAAATTATATTTAAATATTATATACCCTTAAAATAAAACAAACGCTAAATTTTAGCCGCGTCAATAATTTCAATGAGATTTTATTTTACATCGTTCAAAAATCGATATTTTGAAATGTTTCAGTGTTTTCATTTAGGAAATTTAATTCCAAATCAATCGAGTAATAAGTAATGTGTAATAAGTAATTTTTTTATACACTGTGCATTTTTCATTTTACTTTCTATTCTAAATTTTGATATTCAAAGTAGTTTTAAAATACTCACATGCAGATTTAATATATCTTAGGTTTGGCGGAATGGTACGTTCCGCAAGGTGGATTCTTTCTTTGGGTCAAGCTGATATCTATAGATAATGTAATAGACTTAGTGATGAAAAAATGCGTGCCTCAAGGTGTCGTTGTTGTTCCTGGAAATGCCTTTTACTATGATCCTTCAAAACCTAGTAAATACTTAAGATTGAGCTACAGTTATGCCTCGCCGAAAGAGATAGACAAGGTAAATTGTGAATTTATTTTGATTTTATATGTATATATACATATGTACACATGTACATATATATATAAGAGCTATATTCACATTTTTATACACATAGAAAAATGTATCAGAATAATTGAATTAAATAAAATATTTGATACAGCAATATTTTCTATCACTTTTCAGGGATTATCTATAATAGCCAAAATAATACGCGAAGAAGTAGCGAAGAAAAATAATATTGAAGGAGCATGTTGCATGTGAAAGGATTTTTATTGTCGCGTACATATTATCTAAAGTTAAGTATTTTTTTATTATAAATATAAAATCTCTTAACAAAATAATAACTTCTATCTTTACAATAATTTACAATTTCTGTTTTACGATTTCTTGATTTAAAGAGAAAATATTTTCAAAATAAATCATTTTAAAAGATATATTTTAAAGAAACTGTGTATAAAATATTAGAAAATATATATTTTTTAAGAAAATTATAGAAATAGAGCCAGTTATATTAAATATAACTATAGAGCCAGTTATATTAAATATAAATATAGTTATATTAAATATCTCCACTTATTATACATATTATATTTTGTATACTTGTTGGTAAGATCGATAAGTAATACGTAATCTATACTTTTAGAAATCCTCTAAAATTTCTGTACTTTTAAATGTTTAAATACTATCTATACATCGAAAAGCTCTGTGATTGGTAACTTACTTTTCAAATTTTTCTGAGTACGATTTAATATCTTACTCTACTTGTATTGCACTCTACTTGAACGGAATACTTTATTAATTAATAACAGTATTAATTTCAAAATTTCATCATTAAAATAAAGAGCTATAAATCAAATTAGCTTAAGTGATAAACATAGAAGGTTTTGTTGTAGATACGTTTAATGTATCAATTATAATACATACGTTCCTACAAATATGATTAAAATATGATTATAAGTTGTAGAAATTAAATTATACATAAGTTAAATATTCAAATATTTATATCAAAGGATTCAAAGCTGTCGGTAATATCAATCAATAATTATTTTGATTATCTTATGTACTGGCATAGACACATTACATTTATGTATTCAGAAAAACATGTTTGTTGAGAATAAATAGAGATAAGATAATATCTCTGAAGAGATAAGATAATATCTCTGAAGAGATGAAAGTACATCAATAATATATATGATCGAGATAAGAGTATATCATTTCGTCATAAGAGATTTTCTTCCGAAGATATTTTAATAGCGCGAGTTTCTCTCTTTCAAAATAAATTGTTAAAATTTTTTATTATTCTCGGATTATTTAAAAGTACTTTGCTTTTCTAGCAACTGATAAAAAATATAGAGCGATATTAAATTCTTTTAATTTATTAATCTATCTTGCAACGCTCTTTATGCAATACTTGGATTTCGTGTTCATATTTAGTATCTTCGATCTTTTTGTGGCTATTTTTTTTCAGGCATTCTTAAAAGATGTTAAAATTACTGAACCTCTATTCTCTATTTTCTCAATTACTTTCTCTTTTACTTCTATTTTATGCAAAAATATTAATATATAATTTTTGTATCTCTCTTTATCTGACTCTTTCCCTACGAATTGTCCAGCATGAGTGGCCCTATCGTTACTATGGATATTTATAGAGTCTGTTCTTATATTTAAAATTGTCAGAAAATTTGAAACTATTATATGGCCACTTTATTCACTAAGAATCTTAAAATGCAATCTAAGATCATACTTAAGGTTATCTTAAATATAAGAAATATGGACTATAAATGAATATCGGCCTATGATACCGCCGACATAACTCTCATGTTCATTAGAATACTAAGGTATTCAAACGTCCTCACCCGGCAAATGCCTTCATTAAGGTGGCGATACATTGAGGAGGAATATTTTTTATTTTTTATTTTTTGTAATTTAATTTTTTTTATTTTTTAATTCTTTTTTAACTTTTATTTATTTTTATTTTCTTTTATTCAAGGAAGTGCTTCCCTTTGTGACGTTATAAATAATTTTGGTTTTATTATAATTTTTAACAGCATAACTTAAGGCATGATTTCATTTTAAAGATAATTTTTACCTCTCGAAATAGAATGCAACATATATAAAATAACAATATATAAAATATAAATGTAGTTACAATATTAACAATACAATTAAATTCAAAATATATAAACAATCCGTAATAATATCCGTGATAATACATAACATATAATAAATGCGATACATAATGAATGATATGAATTAATGACTATTACCATCGTCATAATTTTCAATATATGAGATTAAAATTCCCGTAAAAATATATGCTCTTCCACTTTAAGAAATATCTTTTTGTATTAAAATATGGATATAACGTGCGATTTTCGTACACATGGTTACAATCGAATATATTTAACGAAAATAAAATATATGCGCTTTTCTCGTTGCTTGATTAAATATGTGAGTATAAATAATTTTAGGGTATCAAATATGCTCGAGACAAATCAAACCTGATAACAGCGAGATTAAAAAAATTCAATTCAAATATTCAATTAGTAATATTAAATGAAAAATTATCATTATTTAATCAATTAATTTTTCTGTAACATTTCAATAATTTGCAAACATCTTACTAATATCAGAGTACCCATTCGATTTGTCTCGAATTTTTTAATTACTCACATATTTTATGTTATATTCATATTTTCATAACATATAATATTAAGAATAATAAAAAAAAGAGTTTTTCAAATGTATTAAAATTTACGCGTATGTATTTTATTACATTGCATATATACTTATCTTAATATAAATTAATGATAATATGGTGAAATGATGGAACATCCAGAGCTTGCAAATGGTTTCTTAAAAGAGACCAAAAATTAAATTAATTCAGAATTAACAAATATACTTGTTTGTAACCATAATTTTTATCAAAAAAGTCTGCAAGAATTTACTGTTTCCAATTTATTTGAAAAAATAAAATTTATCTATATCCATTTTCACTTTATTATTTTCATCATTAAAATAATAGTAATATAATTATTATATGGATATTAATACGGATATTAGTGTGTGGAAAAACATTCCTAACAAAAAGAAGAAAATATATCTTCTCTTAAAATATATTTAATGAATTTTTTGTAATTCGATTTCAAATAATGTATGTCGATTGTCGTTAAATCACTATCAAAACATAATTTCCATGCAAAAACATAATTTCCATGCAAATCTGGGTTTAAATTCTAATTCTTTAAGAAGAATAATTTTTAATGAGGCACCGAACTAAACGTTGCGAATAGATTTTACAAAAACCGATAAAAAATAAACTCTCCACAATGAAGATCATTTCAACTCTCGGCCAGTATGAACCGCGCATTTGCTAGCGTCCATCAGACATGAGGGATAGTGATAACGTTTCTTCGCCAAAGCAGCGATCACATCCAAAAACAAATAGAAAGAATTTAATAGAAAGTAATTTAGAATATAGAAAAAATAGAAAGAAAATTTGTATATATTTTATCATAAAATCGATCAATTTAACGCAATTTGAAATTCGTGAAATATATCTACGACTCAAAAAAGATAATCAAAAAAATCGTTTTCTTTTATATATTTTTCTGCGCGTGACCGATATTATTTGACTCTTTATAATATTTTCGAATGTACTCGTATTTTTGAAAAGCGCAATTGACAAATTTTACGGATAAGAAGTTAATATTTAATCCTTGATTAACATCGAATCTCTTATTTAATAATATTTATATGATGTAAAAGAATTTTTTGATATTTACGATTACGATTTTTAAATAAAAATTCCCAAATTTATTAATAATCTATAAAAAGAAAATGCAACATTTTAATAATTTCACAATAACATACCATATATATATCGAATATATTAATTCAATGAATTTTATACTATTGTACGTATTCTTTTAATTTTGCTTTTACAATAATTTATAAAAATTTATATAATACAATATATAACACAATAACTATTTATATATATAATTGCATAAAAAAATAATAGAAAATAAAAATAATATAATTTCAAATTTATGTACAGTTTAATAATTGATGTTATTAATATCAATATATTCTCAATACAAAAAACTAAAAAATTTTATTATTTGAATTTATCAATGAATTCAAATAAATTGAAAAAAGATAAAAAAATACTAAACTGTAAAAGATAAAAAGATATTAAAAAATATTTAATTTAAATTACTCTTTTTCAATATTATCGAGATATAAAATACTAATAACATTCACATGTGAACTTTACATAACTTTTTATAAAATATAAATTTTAATTAGAAGATAAAATGTTAGATATTAAACACATATATACGTATAATAAAATGCAACTTAAATTTTATATATTTTAAGTATTTTAAATATTTAAGTTACATTTTTTATATTTTTCATGAGTTAAATTTTTGATTTTTACTTATCTTTAACTTGTATAATTAATATCTTTTTCATATAATTATTTATATGTAATATATTTACATACAATTTTCTATAAAATGTGTGTAAAAATATCCCTGAAAATAAAATATTCTTTTTTTCTAATAGTTCCAACCTAATAGTCCTAATAATCCTAATAACCCTAACAATTCTAACAGTCCTAACAGTCCTAACGACCCTAACAGCCCTAACAATCCTAATCCCAGCCGACCTACCTGGCTTATGCCAGTAAAAATTGGCGATTTTGCGGACGAGATTTGGGAAGCCTTAATTGAGAACAAAAGAAATTTGAGGAGTCCTAATGCCCTAATCACGAACTCGTGATAGTCGAGGTTTAAGGAGCTCTCACCGTGCGACATATTTTCTGATCAATATTGATCATGTATTTTTCAAGCCAATTAAATTTTTATTTCTGGCCATATTTATTCTGACTTCTATAAGCCAGGAATCAAGTAAGAAGAATAATTTCTTATTGCTGATTAATTATCCGGCAATTTTCATTAATTTGTTTACGATCGATTAATGTTACGATCGATTTATAGATCGTTTTGTAGCGCATAATTATCGTCATATAAATGTCATAAATAGCAAAATATAAACTATCATGCATATATAGAATATAATTAGCATGCATTTTAACTCTCGGTCAGCAGGTTATTAAAAATATCTAACATTAAAACTCACATCTCTTTTAAAAAAGAATGGTATCTCTTTTAATCAAAATTTTAAAAATATAAAAAGTTTAATATAAAGTTTTATTTTGAGACATAAATACATTTAAAAGAAATTTTTTTATATAAAACTGAAATCAAAATTCGTACATGCGATTTTCCCGCCGTCCGAGAGTTAGAAGCAATGGATTTATCTACATGCATTTACAAATCCATTGCTTAAAAACAAAAGTTCGTCACTCACCGGCACTGATGCGCAACAGCGGAGTTGAATATTGAAGCTACGTTGTCTGTAACATACAAATATAAAATCTAAATTATAACAGTGCTTAAAAAAATTAATATTTTAAATAAATATTATTGTACGCATTGTGTGAAATTTATGCGTATAATTTTAAATAAATATAATGTATAAATATGAAATAATTTTATAAGTAGTTAATTTTTAAGTAGAAACTTCTATACAAAGGATATTTAGAAAAAGATTTTTAATTATTTTTGTTTATATTATTCAAATAAATAAATCAAATTGATATGTGTATGCGATTTAAATACAATAATTAATAATAATATTTACCATCAGGTTGTTCCGCCGATGCAGGATGCCTCTCCTAGGCCTGCTCCTCCTCTCAGATCCTCATGGTTGCTGCGTCGATCTATAACATACAAATAAAAAATCCAAATTGTAATAGCATTTAAAATGATTAATACTTCAAAAAATTACTATTGTACGCATTGCATTTTATACTCGATATAATAATAAGCAGATTGATTAAATAATTCCATACATTTTGAAAAATGAATATTATTATAACAATTATCTAATAACTTATAAAAGCTTATATCTTTACAAGATTATAGTTTTGTAAAAATGTTTTTCAATTCTCTCTTATTTAAATCATATATATAAAAAAATCAAATTACGCGATTTAATTTAGATTAAAACAAATATATTTAATATTTAATATATAATTACAAATTAATAAATTGCTTACCAGAAGGTTGCTCTGCCAGAGCTCGATGCCTCTCCTAGGCCTCCTCCACCTCTCAGTCTTAGACGCGCGATACTTTTAACGACACTCCCGCACTCACGAGCGATATTTTTATATCGCTATTTTCGTTATTTTACGCGCGATACTAAACGGCACTCCCGCACTATTTCGGTACGATTAAAAATTTGATCGCGCGGTGTATATATTTAATATATATATACTTTTAACAATAAATAAAATTGGGATTTTATATGAAAAAGTCCAAAAGTTTCGCGAAAACGCGACGACGCGAGAGTATTACAACGCGAAAACGCGACGCGTTGACAAAGCGTTTGCCATCCGCGGCACGTTGACGGCATCGACGACACGAAAGGGTACTTAGCTTCCCATTCAGGCATCTTAAGATTTATCATAAATAGAAAAATTTATGATAAACCTCAAGGCACCATCCAAGTACTAAGCCCTCCCACCACGACAAGGTGCACCCTATGGGAGGGTTATATTATATATAATTTTATATATAATATAATACATAATTTATTTTGTAATATAGTACATAAGACGCGCGTACGCACAACGTGACAGCTGAGCTCAGACTCTCTGAGAGTCGTTGTTTAATAACATCTTGACAACGTGCGCGGAAATAATCTTCCGTCGACAGACTTCCCCCCGAAAGAATTCAATAGGTGAATACATCCAGAGAGATGGGATGCGGCAACGTAACAATATAATAAATAATATATCTTATTGATCCATTCATTTCCAAGACATTCTTTTTTTCTGTTGTTTCACTTTGTCCTCGTGGCACTCCAATCCTCGTTGCATTCATTTGAATTCCTCGTTGCCCTTATACTCATTCACGAAAAGTTCTTCGTTGCACTTGCAATTGTGATTAGAGAAAGAATTTGATAATATATAGAACGCCTCACATCACTACCTCATTGCTCGAGAGTCACTAAGCGAACGATCGTAAGTCATAAACATTACCGCGGTACTGTTTATATCGCCAAGGCCAATTTATACTATGTTATTGTTATAATTCGTCGTTGAAATATTCTATGAGTGATTGCCGATTAAGAAAATTTAAAGCATTGGTCGAAATTTATTTAATTCTAATAAGTATCGTTAGAGAAATTATTATAATAAGCATCAATAATCGAAAGATCATAATAAAATTAATTTCTTTATCCTCCTTTATGTTTCCTTTTTCAATTTTTATTCACAGTAATTAATGATTGCAATTCGATAAAGATTTATCGTTGCGATACATTTCATGACGTTAATCATAAGTTAATTTATTTTTAATTATTAGTAATTATATCAAATTATGTTTCGATACTAGTCGCGATCGCGTTTAGAAACAAAATTCGTTAATATACGAAGCGTCTCGCACCAGTACTTTACTGCTCGAATGTAGTTGTGTGAATGATAAGGAAAGCCGTGATACATAAACAATAGAACGATACTGTGTACGCCGTCAAGGCCGAACGCTATGCTATTGATAATTTTTTGCCGAAATACGAAATATATTATGATATACACTACATATGAAATATTAAATTACAAAAGTATTTTAATTTACATTTAATTAAACGATTGATATATAATAAAATTTTTCGTTATGATAATTACTTGGATCTATGACATCTTCGATTGTTTCATTACTCCCGATCTACAATAGGTAATTTAAGCCCTAAGACTTAAGAAATCACTAATCATAGTCGAGTATTCTCTTCATACTTGACTGTGATTGGTCAATCTCTTAAGGCTTAAGGCTTAACTTATCTATTGTAGACCCGGCCTTACGCTTCTTGCAAAATCAAATTTTACAATTTTAATTTGTAATTCTATACAGATACATATATGTACACATATCAACAAAAATGTGAATTGAAATATATCAAGAACGAATATATCAAGAGATAAACCGAGAGATATATCAAGGAAAATATATCGAAGAAAAAAATATTGCTACGAGCTAAGCGATATTGCTAAGAGATATATCAAGGAAAATATATCGAAGAAAAAAATATTGCTACTAGCTCGCTTTTGCCGCCATATCTTGCATTCCACGATATTACTGACGATGCAGAAAAACAACACATATTTTTCTATTTTTTTTAAATCTTTAATTTATATTAAGATATAAAAATCATATTATTTATTTATTTTATTACTTATTTATTTTTAGTCACATGCAGAATCAATTGCCATTTATGTAGAAATTTAAATTTTTATTAAATTTAAATTTTAGACAATCTACAATTTGTAACAAAAATTATGATAAAATTTAATTTTATGTATCAAATAATTATAAGTATATAAATAGATCATAATATAATAGATATTCTTTATGTTCACAATATTATAATTTAAAGATTACATAAAAAAAAAGAGTTAAAAAAATTAAAAGAAAACTTAACGCAAGAAAAGGATTGATTTTGATGAAGGAGGAAGGTTTTGATGCATAACAGTAATCGACGTGTAATATGTTAACTGCCATACAATACACGATAATTTATAGAATTACAGAAAAATGCATAGATATTTTATTACTGTATATATTGTAAAAAGAAGTTAAAACTATGATGCGCAATATGTGAGAATTTTCGTCTCACATCTAAAATTAGAAATAAGTGCATCATATGGCTAATGAAATTCTATTCAAATATCATTTACCATAATTCATCAAACATAACTTATTTAAATCAAAAAAGTTCTCTATTTTTATCCCTCATGATATTTTTAACTCAGCTTCCATCAGACTAATAATAGTTTGTTGAAAGAATGTAAACTTTGACTTCTCTTTTTTTTTTGTTGGAAAATTATCTGCTGCCATTATCGAATCGAACGCACACACATACACATATACAAGATGTTAATAAATTAGAGAATAAATGTTACGAGTATATTTCAAAATTTTTATTGTCTCTTTCCATAGATACTATTTAATAACACGATGAGTAAGAAATAAAATTTTCATCAGAACTCCCGATTAGTTTTCAAAATATAAGATAATAAAATCTTTAATATTGATTTTTAATTATTAATGCCGCGTTATTGTTTTAATTTTTATAATTTAAAATATTGATGATCACGTCTTATTGTTAGTAGTAGTTATAGTGGCATAGACACATTACATTTAAATGTTTAGAAAAAAATATTTCTTAAAATAGGATATATAATATGTGTATAATGTATAATATGTGTGTGTGTGTGTGTGTGTGTGTGTGTGTGTGTGTGTGTGTGTGTGTGCGTGCCGAGATAGGCTAATAACTCTCCCAAGAGATAAAAGTTCAAGTATCGAGATAAGAGTATATCAATCATTTCATCATAAGGAATGAGATTTTCTTTCGAGGATATTTTATTATAATAGATATTAGATGCAAATATATTTGAAAATAAATTTTTTTAATTCGCATTTGGACTACTTTTAAAATTTTTGATTATTCCCTGTATTATTTGAGCCGTTTATTTTAAAAGTGACCTAAGTCCATTTATATTTAAATTGAGATATTTAAGAGTTTGCGTTTCAATAAAATTAAAAATATAAAAAAAATGGACTTAGGCCACTTTCAAAATAAACGGCTCATTTATAAGTACTTTGATTTTCTATCAAATGATAAAAAAATTGAGGGATATTAAATATCAAATTATTTTAATTTACTTATCTATCTTGCAATGCATCTCTTGATACAATGTTTGAACGACATGATTATATTTGAATATCTTTGCTAAAAATCTAGAAGTCCGATATGCAACTTTATAACGTAATGGTTTAATCTGCACTTGCGTTATATGAGCTCATATGATTAATTATGAAATAAAGATAAAATTGTGAGGTCTCTCTGTAAACACTGATGTATCCAATTAAAAACTGGGAGGATAACTGATATGAACTGGTTTTATGAGTAATATAACAACGATTCGAGTCAGTCAGCGACAAGTATTCGTAATCGCAAGAAGTGTCAGCGAGAGAATAAATTGTTTCTGTGCGCGATATAACTCTTATTATGGATTACACTAAATTCTATTCTAAAGTCACCAATAGACGAAGGAACAACATAATTAGACACTTACGTAAGTAATCATTGCATTCATTTTCTGTGTTTGTATTTGCACTTTTATTTTTATACAAAATCGTATAAAAGTCTCCTTCCATTTTTTATATAATACATATATTTTTATTTACATATTTTTTATACAATTACTTTCTTACTTTGGGATTTAAAAAATTGAAATTCAATATATTTAATTTTAAGCAAATACATCGTTATGTAAAACATGCAATAAAATGTTCTTACATTTTTTGCGATATTTAATGCACTTTATATACTTATTGTTAGATTTTTTGGAAGTATATTTTTCAGTAAAAGTATTTATTTATATTATTATATTATATTATTAGTATAGTATTATTATATTATTATTATAATTATTTATTATAATAATATAATATAATAATAATATAATAATATATAATAATAAAATAATATAATAATAAAATAATATAATAATAAAAAAATATAATAATAAAAAAATATAATAATAAAATAATATAATTATATTATAATTATATTATTTTATTATTATATTATCATATTATTATTATTATTATTATTATTATTATTATTATTATTATTATTATTATCATATATTATTATAATATATATAATATATATATAATATATAATATTATAATATATAATATTATTATTATATATATATATATATAATTATTATATATTTTTAGTATATTTTTAAAGAAATAAATAATTTAATTAAA